TGAGTTTAACTTCACTTTTTCCAGAAAAAAATAGGATATCTTCCTATTGGTCTGGTTTAGAGACAGCTCAGCTTAAAGAAGGAAAGTTATTTCTGTCATCCCTGAGAATCTATGTCAGAGTGTATCTGTGCTGGGACAAATTTAAGAGGTAATCTTACTCTTGTACATGATTAAAATCGGATCAAAAGAGATCTTTACTTGAAATTTAGAAGAAAGCACTGTATGTGGAATTATTTTATACCCTGTTAGCACAATGATATTGTATACTAAAAATCAGGTGAACATAACTTGAGGCAGCTAGTAAGTATGTGTTAATCCAGAGTAACGGATATGGAGTAAAATGGAGGCATCCAAATTGTTTTATCATACAAATCTAAAACATTGTGATGGGATGAGGGATAAGGTAGTGAGGGAAGAGGAGAACAAGCACTATAGACAGAAAGAAGCAACTTTTGGGCTTCCCTGGTGGCGCAGTGGTTGAGAGTCCGCCTGCTGATGCAGGGAACACGCGTTTGTGTCCCTGTCCGGGAGGATCCCACATGCTGCGGAGCGGCTGGGCCCGTGAGCCATGGCCGCTGATCCTGCGCTTCCAGAGCCTGTGCTCCGCAACGGGAGAGGCCACTGCAGTGAGAGGCCCGCGTACCGCAAAAGAAAAAAACAAAACAACTTTTGTTGCACCCCAGCTGTTTCTGTGGACTAAGCTCTTAAATTAAAGTGTTCTCAGTACAATTGAGTCTCACAGCAATCTTCAGGGTTAGTTATCATTATCCAGAATTTTTTTCTGAAGAAACCAAAGTTTAAAAAGAGACACATATTGCCCAACGTTCTGTAATTGCTAACTGGAGGGGCAGAATTCAAATTCAGGTCTGTATTATTCAACAGTTTATGGTCTTTCTCCTGTATAACACTGATCTAAGATAGTTGGTTTCCCCTCCCACGGGATGAAAACTGATTAGAAACACACAAGTTACACACACACACACACATACACATACACACACCTTCCAGAAGTTTAACCTTCCAAAGTGACTAGATGAGTAAAAGCAAGCTGTTTCTAAGAGTGTAAATATAGGGCAGCCCGTCCTCCCTCCTCCCTTTTTTATTTTTTTTTTTTTCCTTGCGTTATGCGGGCCTCTCACTGTTGTGGCCTCTCCCATTTGCGGAGCACAGGCTCCGGACGCGCAGGCTCAGCGGCCATGGCTCACGGGCCCAGCCGCTCCGCGGCATGTGGGATCTTCCCGAAACGGGGCACGAACCCGCGTCTCCTGCATCGGCAGGCGGACTCTCAAGCACTGCGCCACCAGGGAAGCCCCTCCTCCCTTTTTTAAATGTTTGCTCTGTTATTATTTGTCTTCAGCAGGTGTTAATGTACACCCCCCAAATGATTAGAGTACTCCTATTTCTTTCTTAGTTTCCACTTAAACTGTAACATTGTGTATTTAACTTTTTATTTTTACAATGCCGTCCAACTGCTTACCTTACAGAATGCAAAATGCTGCCAGCAAGTGTTTTGAACACTCCTCCACTGATTGTGTTCATGAAAAGAAGAGGTCAGTTGTGGTGGTTTTGCAAGAAAACTATTAGTCCCCTGTTAAAGATAAGGAAAAGTACATAAGTACGTGGGCGTAAATGGTAGGCTTATCTCTTCCTGCCGTATCACCAACAAAAATGGTACTTGTGACTTCTGAGAGCAGCAGTTGCTCTTACTTTCCGTTAAGTCACGTTATTTTCGAATTGCACAGAATACTGGGATTGATGATGAAGTTATATATCACCACGTGATAGAGTATAATCCAAGTAATAAACAACAGACATTTATAAGAAACAGATCACAACAGGGGCACCAGACAGCCTTCAGCTACAAAACACCAGGACTCAAGAAAAGGAATTTGATCAGTTGAACTTATTCACATGTTACAGGGGCTGGTAATGTATCAAGAGGGAAATTGTAAAGATCCTTTCTGAAGACTGTTTGGGAAGAATACACAAAAATAGCTAATAATGAAATATGTGATTGTACAGAAATTCCCTCATGGCAAACTCATGCTATTAATACCTAAGAAGAGAGTAAATTGCCCGTAAATTGCCCTGTGATCATAGCAGCAGGTAGTTGCAGCAAAGAAGGACTGCATATAGAGATCAACATATAGATAACAACTACTTAGCACACTGGAGGCTTTGGTGGGAGAGTGGATATTAATATGCAATGAGAGTCAGTTGAAATCAATGCAGAGTGAAGGGAGCTGCTCAGTGCCAAGTGTCAGAGAACAAAGAAATTGCTGGTTAAAGATCCATGAGCTGAGAAAGACTCTGAGACCATTAGTAGTTAGGAAATTGGTAATTTTGCCCCACAGTGTGAGCTAATCATTGCAAGTCCCCATGTCTGGAGTGGCCCCAGGGAAGGAAAGCCCTTCACAGCCCTGAAAATAAAAAAGGGCCAGTGTGCAGAGCAAGGTTTAAGGGAAACCAGAGCTGTTCTGAGGAGGCAGGTCCTGCCCCTTTCCACCCTTTAACAGCCAGGTGTATATGCAAGACACCTTCCACTTCCACTTTTGGATATTTTCCACGAAACCTAAACGTTTGTATTTTGGATTTCTCACCAGAGCTTTGTAACAAAGGAATCAGAGATTAAAATTGAGACTGTGTCGGGCTTCCCTGGTGGCACAGTGGTTGAGAGTCCGCCTGCCGATGCAGGGGACGTGGGTTCACGCCCCGGTCCGGGAAGATCCCACATGCCGTGGAGCAGCTGGGCCCGTGAGCCATGGCCGCTGAGCCTGCGCGTCCGGAGCCTGTGCTCCACAACGGGAGAGGCCACAACAGTGAGAGGCCCATGTACAGCAAAAAAAAAAAAAAAATTGAGACTGTGTAAACTAAAATATTAAATGAATTCTCATTAAGTACTTTATATTTGCAGTAACGCCTTTACTTTGCAATACTGGTATTTGCAATAATGACTGATATCTTTAAATTATTGCCATGGTGGGACTGAGGGATTGGAAACCTTGAGCAGAGAAAAACAACAAAAAGCAAATAAAGCAATTTAGTTTGAAATACAGAAGATGGAAGCACAGTAGAGGTTCAGTGAGGACAAGTTGTCGTTGCTGCTGATATGTTTTGTTTTGTTCTGTTCATATCCAACTGTATTTTTGGCTATCACTGTTAATTTTGCTTCATTGATTCAAAAGCATGTATGCATGAATACTAGGTTGTGGTGAGATGATAGCAGAGCAGACCTAGTCCTTACCTCAAAGAACAGACAGTTCAACCGTCGGCTTACTAATTCAGCAAACAATGTTTACAATAAAGTACGATGAGCACTGTGATAGTGAAAGCAAAGTGCTTCAGGAAATGCTTGGTGGAGGAGCTCAAGCCAGTCTAGGGGATTCTTAATCAAGACACCACCCTGAACAAGAGATGTTTAAGCTGACATAAAAAAAACAAGAAATGAAAGTAGGTTAACTATTTAGCATAGGCACTAGAGTTGATATTAACTTATTAAGTTCTAAGAAAATTTAATTTCTCAATTTCTGATGTTTTGATGTCGATGTCATATGGTTGTTTTTTTTTTTTTTGCGGTACGCGGGCCTCTCACTGCTGTGGCCTCTCCCGTTGCGGAGCACAGGCTCCGGACGCGCAGGCCCAGCGGCCATGGCTCACGGGCCCAGCCGCTCCGTGGCATGTGGGATCTTCCCGGACCGGGGCACGAACCCGTGTCCCTTAGCATCGGCAGGTGGACCCTCAACCACTGCGCCACCAGGGAAGCCCTGTCATATGGTTTTAATGATAATTATTCCATTTATTTATCACCTGTAAACGCCTTGGTTTGCGGTAAGCACATAGTGGTTAGCCAAATTGCTACTCAGAGAAAAATGTCTTTCTGATGATTTTTGCTTTCCTTTTCTTTCAAAATTTGTTGGGATATAATTCATATATCATAAAATTCACCATTTTAAAGTACAAAAGTTAGTGGGTTTAATATATTCATGAGATCATGTGACCATGACCACTATCTAATTGCAGAACATTGTTTTCATCCCAAAGAGAAACCACACACCCATTAGAGTCACTGCTCCCAACCCTCTCCTCCACTCCTTCCTTTAGAAACAGCGAATCAAATATCTGTCTCTATAAATTTTACTGTTCTAGAGTTTCCAATACATAGAATCATACAGTAATGTGCTATTTTGTGATTGACTTCCTTCACTTAGCATAATATTTTTAAGGTTTATCCATGTCGCAGCATGTATCAGTACTTACTCCTTTTTATGCCAGGTGATATTCCATTGTATGGATTTACCACATTTTGTTTGTTCATTCATCACTAGATATGTTTTTTGGCTTTTATGATCGGTGCTACTATGAACACTCATTTACAAGTTTTTGTGTGGACATGTTTTCATTTCTCTCGGGTATGTTACTGAATGGATTGGGTCCTGCTGTTAGCCACTTAAGCAATGAATACTCGAGATAAAGAAAGGCAAGGTGCCTTGAATCAAAACGCTGGCAATCTGGGGAGACGGTGGATTCCACATCCCCCAGAAACCATCTCCGAAGATTCTGCTCGGGCCTGAAAGCTTTTAAAGGGAGGAAAGGAAGTAATCTCAGTTTGTCCTTGAGATTACTGAAGGGGAAGCTAGGGAAGAGATTTGGTCATTTGTTAATTACTTATTCTTCATTTCTACTTCTTTGATCTATGGAAAGATCAGACAAGTTAGGCAACGTTTCATGTGATTAAAAGATTTGAAAGGTGTGCTTGAGCCAGAGATGAGTAGAGCATGGAGGTGCCTGGTTTAAAAGTTAGTTACAATATAGCTTTGCTAAAGTGACAGTAAAAGGGGCGTCCTACTGAGGGCGGTTTCCTACAAAGAGCTGCTTACTTATATACCTAGGAGTGGAGTTGCTGGGTCATACTGATAACTCTGTGCTTCCTTTTTTTATGTGCTGCCAGCCTGGTTACCATTTTGCCTTTCCACCAGCAGTGTTTTGCTTTCTTTTTATAGACTCCAGAGGAACTAGAGGATGTTTCTGACCTGGAAGAAGATCACGAGGTCCGCAGTCACACCAGTGTTCAGACTGAAGGGAAAACTGACCGGGTGAGTCCCCTCCCTGTGGGGAGAGCTGTGTGCCATGCCCTCTCCTTGTCAATCCAGGCAGCCTCTCACAGTAGGGATTCCTGGATTTGGGGCTGGTCTTGTAAAGCACAGGGAGAAGAGCCTTAGAATGCAGGAGCACCATCATGAGGGGAATGATTTCCTCTACCTTGAGAGCTCACAGTGAGGCCATTTCTGGTTAGGTAGTGAATCACTCCGTACTACTTTTGGTCTTTATAGCAGTCATGGGAATATCAAAGTGGAATTTGTACCTGTTTGTTTAGAGTAGAAAAGAGAAACCACGAAGTTGTAAATATACTTGGAAATTCTAGAGGAGAAAAATCAACTTCTGAGGCAGTATTCCTCTACTTTTCTTCCTTTTTACAATGCTTTCTTCTGGCTCCATCAACACACACACACACACACACACACACACACACACACATACACACACACACACACTCCGATGATGTTCATCAATATTTGAACTACTCTGAGATGTTCTGTTTCACTTTATTTATACCCAATGCTTGGGAGTTTGTGAAAGTTTGATGTCCTAGCTACTCATAGCTTGCAACTGGAGAACAGACTATAGAACTTGAGTCTGAAAGCCAGATAGTATAGCATAGTGGCTAAGACTGCCTGGGAATACATCTAAATCAGCCACTTCCTTACTGGGTTACTGGGAAACTCACTTAGCCTTTCTCTACCTGTGTTCTCTGATTTGTAAAGTAAGTATACTAATATTATTCTCTATATGAGGATTACTGTGGGAATCAACTAAATTAATGAATAGAGCACTTAACACAGTGCCTAGCTCTTAGTAAGTTCTCAATAATCATTATTGAGAACGAACTAAGTAGCGATAGTATCATTATCATCATCATCATCATTATTATTATTTAATTAGTTTAATTCAGTGTCATAAAATTTGGAGATGTATGAAACAGATAAATTTAAGACAGTCCTGTGTTTTCAAATATTCAAATTGCCTAAATCAGGTATATGTCAGTCACAATACCTGTGTTTAATTAGAAATGTTGGTTATCTTGAGTTTTTATTTCTTGCTAATTATTTGATCTATAAGTCCTGTAGTAGCCAGGGGACACACAGCACCTGGAGTTAGTTTCCTTCAAATCTGGTAGGCATTCTCAGTAGGAGATCAAATCTTACAAATGGCAATGGAATTGGAAATGAATTTTGGCAATGGTAAACTTTGCTTACACTTTCAGCGAAGTGAACGATTGATGCACTTGGGCCACTGGAGGTGGAGCATGTGTGTCAGGGCGCACAAAGTAACTGATTGGAGGGAATTTTCTTAAAATAAAGGCACCTTTTAGGATGCTAGGATTAATATAAACATGCCCTAGTTCTCATTCTGCCTTATCACGTGTAGACAATGAAACCTGAGTTAAGAACCTTAAAATTTAGAAAGTTCAGATTTCTTCATCTGAAAAATGAGAATAATACTACACCTTCTCACAGCATCGTTCATAACTCCAAAGAAAGCAATGCATACGAGACTGTTTTATAAACTTTATATGCTGAGAAGAGAAGGTTCTTCTTATTATTATTTATATTTTTGTTCTGGGAAAAACAGCAGCTAAATGACCACTTGCCCATGGTGGTTATAAAGCTGATGACCTCCACGGTTCCAGATCTTAATAACCTTTCATAGAAGCCACTGCTTCTAACCTTGTGGCAATCACCCTGAAAGTGCTCTGAATCCTGGCTTTGTGTTCCATTGTACAGTTTCCTGATAATCCAGTTCATTTGTAATGCCTGTGGGCTATACCCTTACCACTATCTAGTAAAAGAGATCCATCACCATCAAATCTACTGGAAGCAACATTATATTCAACCCAGCCACTCTCTGCTTTTGTAAATCTCCCCTATACATTCCAGGTAGCTTGGATTTTATTCACTTCCTGCCTTGAGGCTTTCCTGTAATTGCTGTGTGGAATCCCTCAGGAAGCAAATCAGATAGTCTAATACATACACAACCTTATGTGAGGCACTAACACCTCCCAGAACAACTCTTAACCAATACTCTTCCATTCCTTGGATGGACCATATAGAAGTGCATTTTCCACAGGTCTCCAAAAGTTCCCCAGGGGATCAAGCCAATTCCAACAGCAGTGACCAGCTTGATAACATATCTTTGGATCGGCTCTCCTTTCTTTCCTGATTCATTCTTAGGCTCTTAGCTCTGTTCCTTAAGATCTATTCCCCCAGATAAACTACCTTCCATTCTTAGTCTCTGCTTCGGGGGTAAAATGAGAAAAGGTAGTTACATCGCATGTGCTGTTTATTTAATTATCATGTTAATTGTGCTATACTGCTATTATTATCCCAGTTTTACTAATAAGATCACTGAGGCTCCGATTTATATAGCTTGTCTAATAAGTGGATTATGTTTCCACACTAAGAACTTTAGTGATTACCACATGTTGGTTTACTTAGGACATAGAGTTAGCAGAATGAATCCTTTACTAAAAAGCAGACAGAGAACCCCACCACAACAAACCTGATAGATCATCAGTGGAATGAAAGAGAACAGAATAAAGGATACTCTGGCAATCTGAAAGAAAGAGTACAGTTTTTTTAAATTTAAAGAATAATTATTGTACAGTATGAATAACTTAACTCCAGTAACACCCTCTTATTGAATATCCATCTTGTGAGTTTATCACAACAGATTCTGCTGTCATACCTGAAATTTATATGACTAGCCAAGGAGGATAACTCAAATCTGTCCTCTACCTAAATCACCTGACCAGAACTAAGATCATGTTTACATAGGTTTTATGTTCTCTCCCAGGCATCTTATATCCCTAATATTCCCATATTTCTTATAATTGCCTCCCTGTACTTAGAGTATATTCATATGTTCAGTCTTTTTTATTTTATTTTTTATAAATTTATTTATAAAATATATATTTATTTTTGGTTGCGTTGGGTCTTCGTTGCTGGGGGCGGGCTTTCTCTAGTTGCGGTGAGTGGGGGGTTTCATTGCGGTTGGTGCAGGCTTCTCATTGCGGTGGCTTCTCTTGTTGCGGAGCACGGGCTCTAGGTGCACGGGCTTCAGTAGTTGTGGCGCGTGGGCTCAGTAGTTGTGGCGCACGGGCTTAGTTGCTCCACGGCATGTGGGATCTTCCTGGACCAGGGCTTGAACCCCTGCATTGGCAGGTGGATTCTTAACCACTGTGCCACCAGGGAAGTCCATATGTTCAGTCTTATGGCCATTTGAGACTTTGTATTCTATCCAGCATTTCCTGAAGTTTGTGTCCACTGGCCGGAGTATACCTTTTGACATATTTGCCAAATACCATTAATTTGAGAAGATATCACAAAATTTTGAAGTGGAATTTGTCGAGAATTTTTTGAATACTCACGCCATGCTCAATGAAGAATTCCTTGTCACTGCACAAGACAAATGTTTGGGTTCCTTTTTATTTGCAGCTGTTACTGAGGAGTAAATGCCTTTTTGGTTCTTGGATTATGCAGGCTCTGCTCTATTGAACATATACTAGAACCAGTCTTAGGCACTGTTTAGTAATGGAGTGACAGTTATTTATTGTCATTTTACTTTCTGCATTTCACTCCCAGTAGCTTTGGCTCAACATCATCTGTTACTGCTGTCATTGGTGGCAAATGCCACTGGGCATTGTAAAGGTCTGTAACCAACAAATAATGATTTAGAGTCCACAGTCAATGAGAGCAAAATACTAAAAGACCAATAGTGCATGCCTTATGAGGTGGCAGAGGAACAGTGGTGGAAATTAGTGATTATCTTAATTATTAAGCATGAATACTCACTGGACTGATCCTCTGGTTATATCCAGTGATCAGGCATTCCATGGTGATACAGGAGAGTGGGTTTGCTGCAGGTTTATAGAGCATTCTTCAGAGCTCATTGTTTATTCTGTTCATGCCCTTAGCAAGGATGAAATAGACATCTTTTATCTTAAAAACTCAGAAAGAAATTAAAATAGACTAAGAAAATAAAATTCTTAAACTCACTGATAATAAGATTTTTTTGTAAATCCTAAAAGCTTCTTAAAATTTTTATTAAGTATAAGTTAAGCCATATTTTCTATTTAAACAGAGGCGTGTCATTTACCATTAACACTTTATAGTTTATAGAATATTTCCAAATTGCTGTCTTATTTAACAAAAGCCCTGGGTTTTGGTTTGTAATTTTTTCTTGATTTTACTAATTAGGGAATTAGACTCAAAGAGTTTCAGTAGTTTATGCAAGTCATATAGAAATGGGGCCAAATCCCAGGTCTTCTGGTACCAGCCACACTCTTT